CATCTTTCTCCCGAGGAGTGGTTGGTGGGTTCGAACTGTGAACCTTTCAGTTCGCAGCTGAGCGCTTAACCACTGTGCCACCAAGGCTTCTCTTAGAGCCAAAGCAACAGTTAATTTTTATTTTATAGACATACAGGATTAGAGTTGGTACTACATTCTTTTTTAAAATGTGTGCATCTTCCATTTTACAGGAGAGAACCTGATTTAAAATAAATGACTTGTCATAGTCAGCCTAAGTGAGCTGTAGGGTTAAAAGCTCCCGGGATGCAAGAACAGATTATCTTCAGAATTTTTAAATTCAGAATATTTACTGAGAACTTAGAATGTGAACTGAGCACACAATTTGAGGTAAGGCTCTCTCTGGATGATAGTCCACATAAGCTGCCATTAGAGATCAGCATAGCAAGTTTTTCTTTAACAAGCCCTGTTGATGTGAACCTCGCTGAAAATAAAACCTATAGTCTAACTGCCATGAAATTTTAGCAACTTCAATATGTCTTTGATCTTTTTTTTTTTTTCCTCATAAGCTATCAGAATCATGGGGCAGGACACTTCACAGACACTGCAGAAAGGAATAAGTACAAATACCTGAAATAGAACTGTTTTCTGCTCAGTTGTATAAAGGATAATCATTTGACAAGAAAGACCTTAACTACTTCATTATACATTTTTAGCACAGGGTAACTTTGATGATTTTAAGAACTGATTGTAAAATACCAAGTGGAAATTTAATCACACATATGGATACTCAAACATACTAGGCTCCTCTGAAACATGATCCCTAGATTTGTTGCAAGAAGCGTAATTTAGAATGTCACTCTATTGTCATCTGCTTGATTTTACAAATTGGAATCTTCAAGAAATGAGTAAGTGTTCTTTACATGGACTGCACTAGTTTGATCTTCAATTTCCCTGGAAACTTGCCTATGCAGATCAATAGTGAAAGTACCTGCTAGGTCTTCAAAGACATGAATGTATGTGGTGTGCTATTTTCTGGAATTAATTGCGTTTGGAAATTCTGAGTAGGTACTCTCTGGTACTACAACCATATGGTCATTTTCACATAGTGCTATTTCTGTTACATTTATATTCTTTCCATCATCAGAATCTGCTTCCTTAAAGATAGCAGGACCAAATCAGAAAATGATTGCAATTTAAGCTTTTCCTACTTGAAGCAACAGATTTGCTAAAACCATAGCATCTGCTTATCTTATTTCAGGAAGTTGTGCCAGAAGCAACTAAATATTGATCAGCATCTCAAATATTATATTACAATATCTACTTTTATAAAAAAAAGTAATGAAACCTTTTAAATAATATACCCCAGTACTATGTGATGATGACTTTTTATCTGAGCAAACTGAAATGGTGGTGGAAGACCAAAGGAGTACTAAGGTATTAGTCAATGAGTAGCCCAGTTGCTTTTTAAAATGCAGTGAGATGCCTTCACAAGCACCATTTGCCAATCCCTGTACTTGTCCCTTTTCACCTCCCTCTTCCATCCCATCAGCAACTATTTAAAATCTTCCTTCCAGAATCCCCTTTTCACTTCCTTCATTCTCAGCAGGCCACTCTGTTCTCTAACTGAGATCATTAGGTAAAATCCTTCAACTTCCAGCTCCACTATTTTTTTCCTCTTTTCCTCCCAGGATAAGATCTCACTCTCTTATTCAAAGCCAAATCAAACCAAAAACCAAACTTCTTGCCATCGAATTGATTCCAACTCACAGCAACCCTATATGACAGAGTAGAACTGTTCTATAGGGTTTCCAAGCAGCAGCTCGTGGATTCCAACTGCTGAACTTTTCGTTAGCAGCTTGAGCTCTTAACCACCACAATAGCACCCCTATTCACAGCCAGCCCTATCAAAATTGCTCCTGATCTCACTCCCTGACTGGAGCCACTCAGTAGGGTTTGGCTTCTCGCCCAGGCTCCCACAGTGGAGGCCCTACACACTTCTGGCATAGCAAGTCCCACATCTTACGATTATGTTGTTGTTGTTGTTGTTAACTTCTCTCTAGTCAGCCCCAACTCATGGTGACCCCATGCACAACAGAACAAGACACTGCCCACTCATGTGCCCTCCTCATGATCAGCTGTGGATTGGACCTTGTGATCCATGTGTTTTCACTGCCTCATTTTTGGAAGTAGATCACTAAGCCTTTCTTCCTAAGTCTGGAAGCTCTGCTGAAACCTGTTCATCATCGTAACAGCATGCAAACCACCAGTGACAGACAGGTGGTGGCTGCGCAGGAGGTGCACTGGCCAGGAATCGAACACGGGTCTCCCACATAGAAGGTAAAAATTCTACCACTGAACCATCAATGCTCCATTAATCTTATAATGTAGTCCCCCCTGTCCCCCTACTTATCTTTGTATCCTTGGCACCTCTCACTAAGCCTAGCAAGCAAAAGGTACTCAACAAATGTGTGTTGAATTGAAACTACTCACTTTTAAGCATGAATTATTTTCAATAACTTAAACCAGAACTGAGCTTGTCCCAGATTGTCTGCAGAACAGTATATGATTTCTGCTCCACTTTATTTTTGTCAACCCATCAGTGACCCAAAAAGGAGGAATGAGACAATTTCAGTGACTAAGGTTGCCAGATAAAATACAGGCTGCCAATGTTAAAACTGAATTTCAGATAAACGACAAATAATTTTTTTAGTATAATTATGTCCCAAATATTGCACAGGACATGCTTATACTAAAATAATTATCCAATTCAGTTTTAACTGGACGTCCTAGATTTTTACTTGCTAAGTCTGGCAACTCTACCAGTGACTCTTTAAAGATTCTAAGAGGACTCAGGAAATACTTCCTCAGAGCACTGGAGTTTTACATCCGAGCTCTGCAATTAGCTGGATTTGTCTGTTAATGCAATGGGGTTTCTTTGTAAGCATCTCTGGGGAGATTAGTATCATGCTTTAGGAAATGCTTATTATATAACATTTTCACTTACATTTATAATTTCATGTAATTCCCTTCTAATATAATCTATCAATAATTTTAGCACAAAGAATACCGTAATGTTGCTCAAAATTTTTTAGACAACTGAATACTCATGAAGTTATTTATATGACTGAGGTAGGTCCTGATTATATGTATTAATAATTTACATTTTGTGAAAATGTATTTTCCATTAAACCATCAAAGCATAATAAGGAAAATCTTTCATTTGAGGATTTTTCATTTCATTAATCAAGCATAACGATACACACTGTCCTCCTTATCCGGCTAGGGAGAAGCAGTCAGGCGGAGGTGGAGCCTGTGATGTAACCGCAGTGGGTCTTTGTTGGAAGAGGCCTCCCTAAACGTGAAACATCTGTAAATGTAAGCACTTCAGCTTGACTGTGTATAGGCTGACAAGAGAGAAGAGTTGCCTCTTAGCATCACATACTGGAGGCTTGAAATTTTGGTCAACAGAGGAATTCCTCAGAGGTCATTTTAGAAGGTAATACACCTGTCTCACTAAAGGGGGAGAAACGCAAGCTTTTTGTGCAAAGGAGTACCATTTTAGGTTACCAACTGCTGTTTGTCAGTTCATAGATTAATGTGATGGTGCAATGGAACTTATAACCCAAAGTGTAGGGAAAGATACCCTATAGCCTGTTCTTATCCAGAAAGTTCCCTACATTAATGGGTTCTTCTTTCAGATTTCTTGGCAGTGATTACAGAGAAGACGTTCATGTCTTATTTCCATGAAAGAGATTAAGGATAGGTAAATATATATCTCTGATGTAGTGGGATGGAAGGGTGAATCTTCATCAACATTTCAACTAGACTGACCTCAGAGAAAAGTTTCAGGCAAAGAATGACTAAATCTGCTGTAACTACGTGGTGTCATAAGATAACAATGAATTGAGATGTTTATCCCAACACAAGCACACTACCTGCCTTCCACCATACTGGCACCTCCAGTTAAGGATGGTTGTCAAGCTACCACCACAACACGCACACGCACTCGCACTGCAGAGACGCAGAACAATGCCTGGATGCTTGCCCAAAACTGGTCTCTCCTAATGACAGGCTCAATTAATGGTACCAATCTGAATCTCACTGGGAGGTAGCAGCATTTCTTTCCTAGCTGGTGGGGGGCAAGAGAGGGAGGATGACATTTGGAAAGCTCAAGGCACTGGTTGGGGCTTCCACCGGCCCTGTGCAGAGCAGGGAAGCTGATAAACATGTTCATTAAACTTGATCCGAAGCAAGTGAGCCTGCGAGGTCGTTCCTGAAATATTCATAAGATGTGTTACCGGACTCGCGCGTAGTCCGCACCCACACTTTGAAAAAAGGCACCCACAACAGCACACGCCACCACCACATTTCCACTGATCTCCTTTTAACAGCTCCGTCGGCTGTTGCTCCCCACCGGACTGTTCAATTCTACCTGCCCAGGAAAAAGAGACGCTCTAATAAGCGAGGAGTTTCCCAGCAGTTGAAGGAGGCGCCGCGTGCCAGCCCCTCAGCCAGCTCCGCCGGGCTCGCAGCGCGAAAGACCCCCCCAGCCCCGCATACCTGCCAACCCGCTGGCCAGAACCTCCCAGTGCCGAGCCAGCGGAGCACGCGGTCCCCGGAACCCAGATAGCCCACTCGCCCCTGCCGGGCCGCCCTTCGTCCCTGCCTCGCATTCTGGCCTTAGCCAGGGTTCCCTCCCCTCGGAGTCCTTGGCGTTCAGTCGCTAAGCGACGTGCACCCAGGCCGAGATGCAAACAGCCTCTTGTGCCCATCTGCAGCCTCGCTGGTTTTAATTTTGGGGTAGAAGGCGGGTGGAGGATTACGATCCTAGGGGACCCTGGAGCCCCTGAGCCGAGGCAATGTGCCCCCTTATTCATGCCTCCTTTTCTGCTCCCAACCCTTAGCATTTCTGCTTCGCCCCAGACGCAGCGCAGCTCGCCTGGTGCCTTGCGTCCTAGCCTCCACCTCTCTCCTCTCCAAGGGCATTCGTCCTTTGCCCCTCGCTTCCCCCGGGGTCGGCCCTAGGCGCTGCTCCTTACCTGGACTCCAGCTGCGGCGACAGGCTCAGCAGGTTCCGGCACGCGACAGCCCTCTCTCCATCCCTGTCTTCCCCAGGCGCTCCGGCTGCGAGCTCCGCGGCGGCGAACGACCCGGTAGGTCTCCGGCGGGAAGCCTGGACAGGGGCGGCCGCGGATGCAGCACAGGCTGCCGGCGCGGGAGGGACGGGGGTGGGGCAGGAATCTGGGTCGCGTGGAGCAGAGCAAGCCGGGATGCACCCGGAGCGGCCGGCAAGCTGGAGGCGACAGAGAGCAGCCCGCGAGGGCGTGCAGAGAGGTTTCCCGGGGAGCACGAAGCGGGCGGCGACTGAGCATGCCCAGTCCGGGCGCTCGGGGCGCGGGCGCGGGGTGGAGGAGAGATAGCGGCCCCCAGCGCGGGATTCTGGAGATAAAGGGTTAAATCTGCGGACCTGGCTTCTGTGAGGGGAGGGCGGAGAGTTAGTTGCGTCGTCCAGTTTAAATATGCCCCTGTTGACCCTCCGGAAGCGCCCGGGACTAGAAGACGGTGAACCTTGACGGACCTGTGAAGGGAGTCCTGAAGAGTCCTGGAATGAGGGCACGGTTTGTTCCCCGCCATCTCCCCAGAGAGCTGTCCAGAAGCCAAAGTTTGCTTTTACCTTAGCTCCAACCTCTGCCATCTCGCCAAGTGAGTCCCCATTCTAGACACCCACCCCTCACTCGCTATCCTGTGCGTGGGGACCTCCCCTCAGGCAGCCCCCGTCTTTCCCAACCCCTAGACCAGTTGGGTCAAGTTCTCAGACACAGCTCTTTAATTAGGCGTAATTGAGAGATCACGTCAGTCCTTCCAGGTCACGTATCCGCACTTCAATCAGAGCTTCAAAACAATACCTTAACCCCAGGGTTAATTATAATGGGAGGAATTATAGGCACCCTGGTCTAGAGCTACTTGGGGAACACTGCTTAAAAGGATGCCTCACGAGGGCAGAAGGACTGGCCTCAAGAACCCGTTTCCTACGCGCGCGCGCGCGCACACACACACACACACACACACACACACACACACAGAGGTGCCTGTCTTTGGGACTGTAGTTCATGTTTGATGAAGAACGTTTTCTCTATATCTAATCAAAAGGCTTCTTATATTAGAGGTAGCTGGGATCGGGAAAAGAGAATGAGCTTCGAGGCTGGCCTTGATTTCAGTTTCTTTTACCACCCTAGCAGGTCACCTAGCTACTTTGCGCCCCAGGTTCCTCCTCTGTAAAATGGAGGGTGTTGCTACCTACCTGTCTGGGCTGTTGTGAGGATTAAGTGAGGCAATGCACGCAACTGGCACATAGTAGCTGTTCACTGAATAAAAGTCTCCACCGGTTCCACCTCCGCTACTCTGTTTTTATGAAAGGTTGGGTTAGTGATAATCCTTAAGTGAACATTTTTTGTGTTCCCTCCTCACATTAAATAACAACAAAGTCTTCATTGCTCTAATTTTCTACCATTGTTAAAAGCATTAGTCACAATTTACTTTTCTTTCAACTCTCCAGTTTCATCATAGTTCCCTTGAACAAACCCTTTGGAAAAAACTGGACCAAAGCCATAAACAGGTTCTCTTTGGAGAAAAAAGCTTTTCAGGAGACATTCATTAAGGACAGATTTATTCACGTGACAAAAGGGTTTCAATCCACATTCTTTTAGAAATAATTTACTTGCATCCCTCTGTGGTCCCTGTTGCACATCTACTGCCTAAAGTAAGGTATGCCTTGCATTCCAGAGTTTAGCAGATGACCAATATGTAATAGATTCTCAGTTAAAGCTTGTGGAATGAATGAATGAATGTATGTGGGCATGCAACCATTCTGGGTTCTCAACTCTACTTGTTTCTTCAGAACTTAGTTCTTTTCTAATCGGTCTTCCTACTAACCCTAGAATTGATTTACCAAAATTTGGCACATTTTTGCCCTTTCCCACTCTATTAATTTCCCTCCAACCACAACACCACAGATCCCTCCACTTCTGGATTCACAGAGTACTGTGGAAGAGAGCCTTAGCCATAATTCATTAAAATGTTGTGTTTTTATCTAAAGCCCATAAGTGCTAGCTATCGTCTATAAATCAGCATCATTATTGCTTCCTCCAATGCATAACAATGATTTTTAAGAAATTGCTCTTCTCCATCCTAAATGGAGAGACTTTGAAAGCATTCGCCTTGAGAACGGGAACGAGACAAGGATGCCCTTTATCACTACTCTTATTCAACATTGTGCTGGAGGTCCCAGCGAGAGCAGTTAGGCTAGAAAAAGAAATAAAGGGCATCCAGATTGGTAGGGAAGAAGTCAAAGTATCTCTATTTGCAGTTGATAATGATCTTATATACAGAAAACCCCAAAGAATCCACAAGAAAACTACTGGAACTAATAGAAGATTTCAGCAAAGTTTCAGGATACAAGATAAACAT